TTAACTCAGTAGATATAGGTTTCAATTTATTTTTAATATGAGGAAAAATATACTGTATAGTAGTTTTAACTCAGTAGATATAGTTTTAACTCAGTAGATATAGGTTTCAATTTATTTTTAATATGAGGAAAAAAATATACTGTACATTAAGTCGATTAACATGGATCTTTACATGTACCCATCTTTCCCAACAGATTTCGCGTGTTCAAGAAGGGGCATATGAAAAACCTCAGAAGAAAATCGAGGAGACGTCAGTTTACACGAGTTTACACAAGGGAAAGAAAACGGTAAAGCAATTCATACAGTAGTTTAAAACTTTTAAGTATATTAAAAACACCGGTAGTTGCAATGTAGGTTTCAATTTTTTTCTTAAAAGCGAGGAATAACAAACAATATACTGTACATGTAGCATGTCATAGGACACAATACAGGTACCTAAGAGAACATGTTAATAAACATGCGTGACATGCAATTTAAGGTCGATGCTGTAACGGGATATCCAGCAGCAAAAACATGTGACACTGAGATTCCAAGGAAATACGTCAGGCTCATTGGTAAGATCGGCAATGGAGCCTCCGGACGGAATCTTAAGGGGGAAATATATGATTTGCACGGTAAACGAGTGTGGACACCAGTTGCAGTGAAGACAGTTAAAGGTGATTTTTGTTTCTTTTATTTTAAACAAGTAACTTAACGTAGTAATGTAAAAAAAAAGGCTGTAGACCTGCACACAACTAAGTGCGGGTGCGAAGAGACCTCAGTGCACATATTATACTTACCACCAGATAACGTGGTACAGAGTACTTGCTCTACACAATAAATATCTCCCACTCAAGAGGTTATTATATAATTTGTCTATAACAAACAGTTTCACGTACGTTTTACATCGAGTCTCATTTGAGAATACGTAAATGTAACTTTACGGGATATCACAAACTGGTTACGGCTGACCTTCGGGTACTGAAGTATAAGGTAAGTGTTAATATCTATTCAGTGTATCTTTATAGTGCAACCAACATACATCGTACTCATTTTAAAAATAGCATGTATTCCTAATTTTTAGAATAATCTGTATTTCTCATTTCAAAACATTTACTGATGCGATCGATTGTCTTAGATCTTGAAGATGCAGTCATTGTAAAATATCTGCTGGATGAACTAAAAGTGATGCAAGCACTGCGTCCTCACCCAAATGTAATATCTCTACTTGGTTCCTGCACAGGCGAAGGTGGTAGGTTTCTACATTCAATACTGCCGTGATAATTCCTAGTACTGTTATGATTGATTGTCACTAAATTCCTCTTTCATATATAGGAGAGTCATATTTAACCATCGTGAAATCAAAACAGTGGTCTTTAAATCGTTAATTTAGAGTTTCAGTAAGCTGAATAACATGTTTAATTCACCATTCAATGTAGAGTTATGTACATGTTTATTGGCTCGTAATAGTCGAGCGAGTAATGGTAAAATATTGTATAACCAGTGTAAAAAGTTTGATTTATTTTGTCATTTAGGTTTACCAATGATTATCCTGGAATACCTCCCAAACGGAAATCTTCAGTCGTTTCTACGAAATGTCAGATCTCGAAATAAGGGGGTGTATGACAACTTATATGGCACCGGCTCTTCCCTGACAACGCGTGATCTGATGGGTTTTGCCTTGGATGTAGCCAATGGGATGGCGTACCTTTCTTCTTTGTCCGTTAGTATTGATAATCATTTATTGGTTATATTGAAAGCCAGTGATTAAAAATTTACATCAAATGTTTACAGCAAATAAGGCAACGTTTGGCAGCTAATTATATCTCTATTATTCAGATTTTAGGACAATGACCTCTATAACACATTCTCTTCTTTGAACTTGGTGATAGCAAGACCTTTTGAAACAATACTGAGGGTTTTGTTCCTAAAAATCACTTTGTCACTGACACTCATGCTGTTGAGCAAGCACCATGTTGTTTATATATTTACCTTCTCTTAGATTCTGCACAGAGACCTGGCCGCAAGAAACGTATTGCTGGCCGACGGCAGAAAGTGTAAGATTGCTGGCTTTGGTTTTGCCACAAACGACATCGAAAACCACCCGTATGACAGGAAGTCGCAGGTATTCCATCATGTTTTGCAGAAAACTTACGCCGCCTTTGTTGAAAATATGTTTATGTACCCAAATGTTCAAAAGCACAACGAAGCTCTGTTTTTGCTCAAAGGTAAATGAGATAAAGTATATATGATTGTATATTTTTGTGGGATTTTCTTTGAGACAAAAACATATTCTGTGTACCCACATGTTTGTCACTGTTCTATTAAATCTTTCTTTAGGGCCGTTTACCAGTTCGCTGGATGTCTCCCGAAGCTCTTTTTGACAACAAATTTACCACGCAGTCTGATGTCTGGGCGTATGGTGTACTGCTATGGGAGATTGTCACGATGGGTAGGAGTCCAAGTTTTCTTAGTTAATAGTTTTAAGTAGATATAAACGCATCTTCTACTTCTAATAACCGTGATTAGATTATCATAAAGTCTTCTTAATCCAGGATCCAAACCGTACTCCGGTATGTCAGCCAAGAAAGTGATGAAAGCCTTAACTGAGGGATACCGGATGCCACAACCACCACATTGTTCACCTGACATGTGAGTTTATGTCTGTGGACAATCAACGTGAACAACGCACGACAAATGAAACAGGGTGCTTAAAACATAAAGTTTTTTGCACATCAAAGCCACACAATGTTTGTTCATTTATTAGATGTGTGATGCTTTCAGTGTGGGTGTAATTAACAGAGGAAATTAAGGAAATGCAAATCGCTTGTATGGATCCAAGAAGAGACTATATAGGTACCGTTGTACTGAATTTTGTACAATTATTCTGATAGCGGTATGAAGAAAATATATATTATGTACATCATGATTTGATAATTCCAGGTATAATATCATGCTATCATGTTGGGAGGAGAAACCAACCGCACGCCCTTCATTTGATGAAATAACAAACTCCTGGAAGGGTTTACTAGATTACGAAGTCCTGGCCTTCGAAAAGACTGAAAATGTTACAGTTTGAAGAGAAGAGGACATTGGTAAATATTAAACGGTTGAAATGCAGTCCAGATGACAGTGTGCTGATCAGTGACTCCAATTCCTGTATAACGGCCATGGCTCTCAAATCAAGTGTCAGTGGTCGCGAAAGAGATCATCTCACCATTACACAAGACGATCGAGCGTATATCTTATTAGTTTAATTTGTAGTATTATGTTTGTATAATTAGAAACGAAATAAAAAGGAAAAATGAAAAAAGGTATATATAAACTTGTAAATATATTGACAATGATATTCCATAAAAAAACGTTTTATTTTTGTACGACGATACTGATGTAACCACATCATGTGATATTGAGTTTTTATATTTTTTTTATTCTGTGGTGGGTAGTTAAATACAACGACAGGACTATTTGGGTCTGTATTCACTGTGGACTTTTCATGACCAAATTACACTTTTTTTAAATCCCAATTCTTAAGGTGTGTAAGATAGAATCATGTCACCTGAACATCTTAATGTTTTTGGTAGTTAGAGCGAACTAATACCAAGTATTAAGGGATGTTTTCAATTGTAATGAATTCGGGTAACTTCAATTATAAAGCAAAAGTAAAGAACAGTTTGGATTTTATTGCTCCAAAGGACTCTACTAACCATATATGAAATTACCTCAATATACCTTACTACAAGTATTACTTCGTTATGTTTTAGATTTAAGAAAGCAACATTAAATGGATTTCACCAATTTACGTTAAATGGATTTCACCAATTTACGTCAGGGACTTACTGGACACCACACCATCGACACTACAGGCAGAAATATCTATTCACCAATTGGCAGACATAAAGGCATACTAAAGGCAATATATGGATATGGATATTCGATATATGGAACTGCCTTTTAATAAAGTAAAATAGGCGTTGAAACTCTGAAATTAAAAACACCAAAGAGTTGGATACTTTTAAAAAATTGTTTTTAAAAAATCAAAAGAAAAAATTTATGTATACAATTATAATTGTATACATAATAAATTATGTATCTTTAAGATTTTTACTAACATATTCTAACATATTGTCTTTTTGCTTTATTCATATAATTATTATTACGTTTAATTTGATTCAATTTTACTTCATTATTGGTTTATTAAATGAAATTATTCATCTTTTATTCATTAACACAATATTTTATTCTAACCTCTCAGATGGTCATGTGTAAGATAAGTGTATACACTTAACATGTTTTACCCTCTTTGAATAAAGTTGATTATTATTATTTTTTATTATTATTATTTGTATGTGTTTCATCCTGTGTATCGTATGTATACAGAATACTTAACCCTTCCACAAAGACATTGGCTGGATTACCCGTGTTGTCCGTCTTAGATCAAGGAGATCTAGATCTAGGAGATTCTAGATCTCTCAACCAGGGAAAAAGAAAACCAGTTAGTATGGTAAATATCTGGAGACATCACCGCCGTTGTGTTACGGTTTTGACGACATATAACACCAACGCTCGAAATAGTGTTATTAAGGTTTTATTTGTGTATTAAAACGAAATTGCTTTTGTCAGTTACGACATACCTGTAACAGGATAAATAAAGGGTACTCTGGATTAACTATAAGTAAAGTAAATTGCCTTCGTTTTATCAGCTGAATATTCACAGGGATGTAATGTGACCGGGTAGTAGTCGCTATAGATAGTGGAATTGCGTTATATGTGACGTATAGTGTTCTTGCATTCCACGGTAATTAATTTTTTGTTTTATTTTGTTTTTTCAAGCTCCATTATTCCGTTATTTAACTTTATATCAGTTGTTCAATGGAAATAACAATTTGCAACTACTCTTCTGCAATGCTTTGAATTCTATTTTAGATAGATAAATGTTTTATTCTAGAATACAGTGATGGAATGGTAGTGAAGTTCAATTTTCAACTCATTAACGAGAGAACTGTTTTCAGAATCATAAATTTGTTATCAATTTAAATACTGATGGTTGACGCTTGTTTTCGATCGATGAGAAAATTCAGTTTCATGCAGTTGCCATAAGTAAGGTGCCACGTGACAACGGCGTGTAACATACATGATTTACGCAGCAGGTCTATCAGTGATGTCAGATGTTCTAGAAAACTCTACTTTGTCTCCATCTTCAGAATTGTAAAAAGCCGAGACTTCAGTCTTCCCAGGTCGATTATAGACAATGTACCCGAAGAAACCAAGAAGACCCACTATGATGATGGACAGGAGAGCTATGCCCACAGTGTACCCAGTAGTCAGGCCTTGTGCTGGAGAGAATGTGATGAATATTATCAGACCATGGATTATACATTACAAAAAAAATTGAGGCCACTTTTTGTAAGAGCTCTTTTGTAAAAATAACGTCAATTACAACCCAACTTGATTAATCAGATCGTGTGAAGCTGAAATATACCCTGGGAAAAACATAACGACTTAAATCAACAGTATAGTATAGTTTATTGCCGAATCAACTTGACATAGGCATATAACCATAGAAAGTATAACATTTGTGGTAGGTGGAGGTGGCAACCACTGTTGATATATTGGAGTACCTAAAAAAGTGGTGAATGGACAGACTTATATATCTTTAAAAAAAAATTGCAGTGTGACTTTTCTTTATAAGGCTAGTATTATATAGTATTATATAGTAACAGAACAAATCAACAAAATGACTGTATTACCTCTAGCTGCAACGCGGACAACATGTTCCTCATGTCTGGGGGGTGTTGACGAGGAGGTATTTGTGCGTGTTGTCGTGGAGGATGTAGCAACCGTAGGGAAAACTGAAACGTGAAAATATACTGAATTCTGCGTCTTGGAAGATAAACGGTAGACAGGCATGTAAAGAAATATAATCAATGTAACTGTGAGGATGTCTGTAGTCCGTGCGCCATAATTTTCTGGATATGCTGCATCCATATCAGAAAATGTAGTATGCATATGAGGTGAAATTAGGCCGTTCACTTACATGAAGCAAATACGGTAATTATTTTATTAAAAACCATCACGAAAACATGCTACCTACTTTTAGACGTTTTGCAAATATAACCCCTGCTTCCGTCACACGTTACGTCATTCCACAGTCCTGACGTAGGCAGAAACTCGGCACATCTCTCCTCGTCACCAGTAGCGCTCGGTTTGGCCGGAGACCAGTTGGTGTAGTTGACAACCGTACCATCCTCCCACTGATAATGTTCTAAAATACAATAATACCATAACATGAGAATAGTGATCGTTATTCAAGGGCACACTGTAGGGAATTCAATTTTAAAATCATGACACGTAACCATTATATTACACGTACTGCTACTTTATTGATTATAGTGTCCAAATGCAACTTTCGTGGTTACCATTCTGGCTTAAGACAGATACAGTTAAAACTTGCCTTTTCTTCTTTTAATGAGACCAATCCACAAATTTCTTGACGCCACTTCTTCGTTCAACAGTTCGAGTATAAAACTGGTCTCGTTGTCGCTAGTAAAAGACGCTAGATAACCGCCTATTTTGTAGCACTCGAAGCTAGCTTCTCCCCAGTCCAAGTAGGCATTGGTGTCGTAATAGAAACAGGCTGACCCATGGTCTATCCACTGTCCCTGGTCCGGACACCAGCCTGTGGTGGGCAGTGTGGTGACCGGCGGTAGGGCTGGAGTAAAGCAGAGTATATCAGAACGGTGTGACAAAAAAATTGGGTCATTGAAACAGAGAGTCAAACCTCCATTTAATAATACAAGTAAGGGTAAGCCTGACGTAAGAGGGTCAAAATCTGGGGCGAGGCTTACCTGTGGAAATTAATGGATAAAGGACCATCTACCAGGGGGGCTCTCTGTCACGTCACACCGGTGTGACAGGAATGGTAGTCCCAGGAATGGAAGTCCGGGGTCCTATATGGTTAGCACTGGCTAGGGTTAGTCGAAGTATTGGGGTTATATTAGTATATTGGACGAATGTCACTTGTACAAATTAATTGGGAACGGACTACGATTCCTATGGGACTACCATTCCTGTCCGACCTGTTTTAATTCATCTATTTATTCATTCATATGTACTGTACATAGAACTACGCGCACGTACAGAAACTACACCTAAGGCAGCACCATGGGTCTTCTTTATCTCCCTCTACGTGTGATATAGGGGGCGCTATAAGTACCTTGTGTCATGTACCTTTGCATCTATTAACACGAGCTCTGTGATACTTACATCTGTAAGTGATGATTTTTATTTTTTTTAATTCATTTATTTTAATAAATTAGACTAGGATACAATTTAATAACATCAAAACGTGGTCGCTTAAAGCTGCCTCAGCTTACCAGAAGTTGTCATGCAGACAAAAGGGAGCTTTGTCCCACAATCCCTTGTGTTCCATGTCCCGTCATGCATCATCACGCCGCACACTTCTGCCTTCTCCGATTTGGGTTCGTCCTTGGCCCAGTGTGTGAAAATTAGAGGCCATTCCATTGTCCACTTGAAGCCATGCTGAGAGTCAAAACAATGGCGAAATTAGTGTTTTCGAGAAATAACAAATCAATACAGACAGAGAGCCGTAACTTAATAGTTCATTTAAATTGCAAAAACAGTTATGTTTCAGTTAACTTTCCATAAAAGAAACCTTCATCCTTAATTAACACGAATACAATTCATACAAAAATCGACATGTTATGTTGCAATATAATTCGAGTATACAGTAATAATATATATATATAATACAAATCTACCCACAGGTCTCGAGCCTTTCAGCCCCAACCACACTGGTGACCCGTCAGAGTGTCTCAAGAAAGTGATCAGATGTGCCTCTTCCAAAAACCCTGTTACAAATGTTAAATAGGCGCCCTCTTCAGTACAAATCTCATGTGCGTCTGCCCACGTCTGCGCGTCTTGGTGCAGCTTATAGCACGTCACGCCATCTAGGGTCGAGTAGCCATTTTTACAGTTGGATAGAGTGGACACAGGTTGGGTCGTCCACGGGGTCTTGATTGCAGGGTCTAAAACAATATGATAATATAATATGATAAATATAATCATATAATCAAAAACAACTTGATAATATATAATCCTCAAACACTTTGTTAATTTCAGATAGTTGATTGTCAAACCAGTTCTAAATCTATCTAAACCACATGCTTACGCCATGACACTCTCAACTTATATATGAAATTCAGTAATATTTAATGAAATATGCACATTTCTTGCCAAACGCAATATAGCATATTTGCCGATAATATTAACATAATTACTCTGAAAACAACTAAAATCAACTATCTGTATCTCTATACATTTACCTTTCCAAGTTTGACAAATATACCCCGCAGTTAAGGAACACTTCACTTCAGCCCACTTTCCGATACTGTTTTCGGCTGATCTTATAAGGACACAATCTTCACCATTAAACTAAACAAAAATTAGACATGTGGTTTACAAAAACAGAGTTTTTTCTACAATACAAAAGATGGCGATGGTTTTTACGGTACAAAAGGTGACGTGATAATTATAATTATGATAGATAGTTATTATACTTTGCGACACTACAAATTAAAAAGTAAATTGTTAAGGCAACTCGCACCTGCCAAGAAGGTGACGGTTCGTTCACATCCCAGTTTTCATACTGCAGTTCTTCATTCGTCAGCCACTGAAGAAAATGTGTTCTGTAGTAGTCGCTTAGGCCAATCCAATAATCCGCTACTTTAAACTGCAGCTTGCTGGTAATAAATGCTGTAACATGCAAATCATATAGAATTGATCTTGGTACCTAAATCTGAACCTAAATCAAAACCGTTGGTCATTTAATAGAACACATCCAAATACACCGCATTGCAACATGTTCGTCTCTACACAATAATGATTAAGGTTTATTGAATAGGCATCTTTTATTATATTGAATTTTATGTTATGAGTTAAGTTCCCCTTCCTTAATCGATACAATGTTACTCTAGCTTAACAGTCCAAAAAAGACGTTTCAGCAACAAAACCCCTACCCTGTTCTAGTGGATTGGTAATACTGGCCAGTGTATACTGCCTCCCCAGGGCGGCACAGGCGCTGGCTGCCCCCGTCCAGTTCCTACGCCCTTCCTGGACCTCGCCAAATAACTTGTAGCACCTGTTGCCTATGATATTATGAACCAATAAGTGAAGCATTGGAGAAAATACAAAATGTTTGTGAATATATTTTGTTTGTGAGAAAGTTTGAATACCATAAGTACATTTAATACTTGCCAAACAGAAGCTTATTGTTTATTTTACCTGACTTTAAAGAGATCTGTAATTATTGTACCATTTGTTTGTGACGATTCAGTTGATCTCGTGCCTTTTTGATATACAATCTTACCAATGCCATCAAATCCCCTCGGGCAGTATCCTTCTATGGGCGGGGTGGTAGGTACACTTACAGTGGTTTTACTCAGTTTGTGTTTCTTGCAAATAAATGGTAATTTCGCCGCACAATTGTCGTCATTAAATGTACCTAGGACAAGCATGTATATTTATAACCTGAATAAATACCTCATTTACGCCAATTTTTACAGAACTATAATGAAAGGCACAATTCTATGAAAATCGAAAATATAAAATCCTGTGTAGATATATTCTAGAAAAAAAGACTGTATACAGTTATATGACGTAAAACATTTGGGGGAAAGGAACAAATTATGTCGGTAGACATAGTGTAAAATAGAAAGTCTGTTGTCTCTTATAGTAAAACCCAAGTAATCGTTGACTCTTTTTTAAAAAATATTAACTCTTTTACACCATCGGTACATGTTCTTTCTATCCGATATAATATAATATAATATAATATAATATAATATAATATAATATAATATAATATAATATAATATAAAGGGTTTCACGCACCTGGCTGTGTTCTGTCATTCCCTGTGTACATGTTGACACACCTCTCTAGACCGTACCTGGAGTTGGGTTCGCCTTGGCCCCAGTTTATGTAGTTAACGAGAGTGCCATCTGTCCATCTATCCAGACAGTTATGACATTTAATTTAAGTCTATTAAACCAGTTATGTGACAATTTATTCATTTACATAATTATTCTGTCCTTCATTTCTTTGTTTATTTCATAAAACAAAAGCAGCGCATCAGAGATTGGACACAATGTACTAGTAAATCCAAAATGTTGGACAGACTACATACCAAGTAAACTGTTTCTCTGTACGGACAATATAAACACTTTCCATTTAATCTTTTTAGAATATCTACTCGTTTTCATGTAAACGACATGGAAATCTTTAATTTTCAGATAAAAGGGGGCACCAAGGAACAAAATCCACCTATATCCCTGAAGGTCCAGGTTATTGGCACCAATCCATGACTTGATATTATCAGTCTTGCTGACCAGTGTTGTGACAAAGTCGGCCTCTCCAGGAGTATGGATACTAAGAAGGTCACCAGCGTTCTCCATACACCACTGTCTGGCGCTGAACCATGATTTCCTGTGGGTGGAGCCCCACCCCTCACTGATATAGTAACAGTGGTCCCCGTAGGAGTGCCAGGAGTCGCCACATGTATCGTCGTCTAGAAAAAAATGGGTTTTCTTATTGATTTTAAATATCAAAATATCATTCTGAAAATCAGATTACAAAAATCGTCCTTCAAATTATACTATAGCGGTAGATCAGTCATGAAGATTGTATACATTTATGATCTATCTGTATGATCACAAATGCCAACACAGATTTCAAAGTGAATATGCTTTCATAACGAACATAACTTCTAAAATGCGTTTATATCTGAAGAGATCACTTAACACTACCATTGGTTACAGTGTGTTAAAATTAAAAGATAAATTCCGTTTTGGTATTTTGTTACTCATGATTCAATCAACCAGTAACAATAAGATTGGCTTTGTGACTTGCTTCATGCGCCCTCAATTAATTTATAATAATATCAATTTAAAGTCAAAAGTATCCTTAAAACTCAGTGCACTTTAAAATGATACAATACTAAAATATTGTAGAATGAAAAAGCTGTAAAACTATAGTTAAAACTACAAATTAAAGGGTGCACTTCAAATAACATTATGCTTTAAAATATTAAAAAAGCAAATCCAAAAATCATTTGATCTCACCGGTTCCAGAGGGCGTGGTGGTGCTAGGCAGAGGTGTGGCATCCAATGACGCTCTACATATCCAGCTCCTTGCGCCTGCGCAGTTGTCATCCCGCCATTTGCCAGTGTTGGCATACATACCGACACAGCGTTCCTTGCCGTTATGGTTGTCTGGCTGGTCGATATCCCAGTTGGAGAAGTCGAAAGGTGTGCCATCAGACCAGACATGAGAGACGTAAGCTTTGGAGGTAAAAAGTAAGATGTAGGACTCGTTTCCGATAACAATATAGGCACCTATTATGTTTATATGAAAAATGACTTTTTAAATTAATTTTCCGTTATACCGTTGTATGTAAATGCCTGGTATTCACTTATTTTGTTAAAAAAATTATTTCATTAATATAATCCAGAATGTTGATTTGTTAATAACACATAAAACACAATCGATTTATTTTATTTTGATAAAAATGGGCTGTATTTTGTTGGCACTGTGGCGATACGTACTTTTATTAACATCAGTGTCATATAGCCCGATCCAGAGCGGTTCATTGCTGTCTATGCCATAACTACAAAATGAGATGTTGACATACCTATCAACCTGTGAAGAGTGTACCCACTCCCCCCTCCCCCACCCACCCCCCTCTCACACACACACACCGATACACACACATTTAAAAACATGCAAAATGGTTTCTGGAAAACTGCACATCAATGTTAATCCTTACATTACAAGAGTAATATCTAAGCCAAAATGGAACATTAAGACGAAAGTGGGACATCAAAGATACGTATATCCGGTAAACCACCTATAGAGGCCAGCCTTCCCAACAATGGTACCAAACCAGGCACTTTCTTCGGAACTGTGAAAACTTGCCAAGTCCCCTCCCTGCGACCTACAGAAACTGCGGGCTGATTGCCAGGTTTTCTGGTCTTTGCTGGTTTTAAAGAATGGCTTTTAATGGAAAGAGAAAAACAGCATGTTTTGCAGCAAAAAGGACACTCGAGTAAATACATTAAAGGTATACATTCACAAATGTGGACGTGTACATTAACCGGACAAAAATACATGGTGCAATATACAAATAAGTTTCATTTGTCGGAAACTATAGAAAATTAACTGAAATTTATCAACCAATATTTCATTAAAACTTTATTCAAAACGCATAGCTAATATTCAACACATGACATAATGTATACGCCTCTACTATGCGTATTTCGAATAATGCACTCACACATAAAATTAAGACCAATAATAATAGTTTAATAGTTAACACATCACTGCAGTGTAAAAGCGGTGTTCTTTGATCGGAACCCTGCGTAATAAGTAAAAACCTAATTGGTATCATCTCAACTAGTCAGATTACAGATTTATGAAAAAGTATGTATATATTAAACAACAATTTACCTTATAACACAATCCATTATATAGGTACCAGCCCGACCTGCAAGCTGGGGCGGGCGTCGTCGTCGGAAGTACTGGAAGGGTAAGATTTCAGGAATAATATTTGGCTCAGTTTCACTACATTATCACGTTATCCATATCTACGGCATGCCTAATACCTTAACTTTTGGGTTTTGCGTAACTAAGTCAACAAAAATGTTACATTGACCAAACTAATGGCTGCCGTATGTATCAGAAAAAATGCTACGTTTCGCCCCTTTGTAGTTTCAGTCAGCCAGACAAACAGATCAGAGTCAAGTCAAGGTACACATACTTTTCCGCGTTTTACACACATGGCTGAGAGGGTAGGTGCAGGTAGAAAGTTGCCATTTCCCCGTCCCTGGGTGCATATCTATGCAGTCCTTGCCCCTGTCACTGCCGGGCTGCCCCGTGGCCCAATTGGCAAAGTTGAACGGAGTACCGTCATACCAGTTGAATGTTCCTGAAAGCGTATTCAGGGTAAAGGGCTGAGTAAAGAAAATGTTGGCAAATGTGAACATCAAAACAGAGAGCCTATTCATTACATGAATCTGGAAAATTACAGGTGTAGAGCTGTTTGCTGTCGTTTCTGATTCCATCAGTATGTACTATTGTCTCTAAAGCAACCGTGTGTCCTTATGAACAATGCAATTGGCCTGATATTCCTTACAATCGTATTCCAGCAAGTTACGAGGAGTAGTAATAATAATAATAAATTGATTGATCGAACCACTAACCATTCGGTTTCCTATAAAGTCCTGTCCAAAAGGGGCGATTATCGACCAGAGATTGTTGAAACAGTTTCACCAAGAAATCTGCCTCGTGCTGGCTGGTCACGGACACCAGGGTGGCCCCTCTCAGATAACACTGCATAATGGCGCTGTACCAGTCATTATAGTGGTTCTTAGTGGACAGGTGGTAGCAGTGGGAGCCGTGGGGATACCAATCGCCGTCAGGACAGGTGCCCGGGGGGTCAGGGACGGTCACCGGGGGTTTGGCTGGAACGGGTGTCAAATAGTCAGAGTAAGAAGAGCGTGAGTACTGAATCAGTACAGTTTGCAAAAAAAATCTCTAAAATATACTAATACTTTTATACTATTTAAAAGATACAAAAACCAAGTAAAGGGTTCCTTCAAGTGGTGGATTAATGTACTTGTTTGGAAAAATGTCACAATGATTATAGAAATAGCTATTTTTACCATAACTGGTGTTTTTTACATATTCCTCGAGGTTAAAAACTACAATCCGTCGCCTTTTTTTAATTCTATGGAAATATTGTGATAAGAACATCGTTTGCCTACCTGATGTTCTCTTACATATTCCTTGAAATTTAAGACTACAATCAGTGGCCTTCCAATGTCCATCCGCCATTAACATAACGCACCTGGCGGTTCCATTCCTAGGAGGTTCGGAAGCTGCCCAGTTTACATAGTCCACTGGCCACTCATCCTCCCAGTAGTACTGAGACTAAGAACAGAATAAAATATAACCATTATATACAATGTGCAAAACGGAAAAAATTGGAATGAAGCACTCGATTGTAAAAATCTTATAGTTTCCATAGACTAAACGTGTCGCCTACAAGTCGTGACGTTTCTACTGTTCATCCAGGATTGACTCAGAGTATTCACTTATTTATTTATTTAATTATTTATTCATTTATTTATTTATTTATTTATTGGTAAACAGACAGATCGGTGTTATATACAGATATCAACAGACACTATGTAAAACAAACAAAAATATTTTTATAAAATGGAAATAGTGTCATTACCCCAGTCCTCGTTAATCCTATCCACATAGACTGCTTGTTAAGTTCTTGAACTTTCAGAGTGAGAAACGTTTGTTCAAATCCATCTAGAACAGACACGAGGTGGTCCTGCTGACGGCGACACGTAGCATTGGCCTCCTCCCACGTCATGGCGGCCGTTACCTGGTAACAAGCATCACCAAAAGACTCGTAACCAAGGGGACAGGGTGACGGGGACTGAGAGGGTTGTGGAGTCGGATAACTGGCATCTGAAATCAAAAAGCGCACAGTTTTGTTATTTTATTTATATGAGGTAACGACTAGGAGTCCTATCATAGATGTTTTTCTCTAGTTATTTATACATTGCATTTAAGGTCAACTTTAATGTAAATATGATGTTTATTTTGCGTAAACCGTTACATTTAGATATGCATATATATACATATGTATTTATACATAAACACACACTGGACAATAGAAGTGTCACCCCCTGAATCAGAGTAATCAAAGTTATAATGCCCAGTCTACTTATAATGTGACTAATGAGTATGAAACCGCTGTACCATGGAATTGTATTGTTGGTATTTTTGTGAAATTTGATGTTTTTAATAAAATGATACCAGGAGCATATCATTCCACGGTCGTTTATCTCCCCCAAAGTATTGGTTCAGAAGGGGTGACACTTCTATTGTCCAGTGTGTGTACATGTTAATCTTTAGGTCAAATAAAACTAAATTGTAATTTTTCAAAAGACAAATATACCAATAAACAGACTGAAACTGGGCATCGGCTTTTGATTAATCATCAACACGGATATGTATACGTTTACCTTTCCATGTCTGACAGACGTAGCCCATCTTGATGACACACGGCCTGTCTTGCCATTTCCCCGCTGATATACCCCGCGTAGACACACTAACACACGGCTCCTAGGCAGGGATTGAATTTATAGGAATATGTAAGTTTTTTATCCACGCAGTTCAGGCCCCAGTTTCACAAAAAAACTTAAGTCATTTCTCTGATTTAGCTGATTATGATTTCCAAGAGAGTGCTGTTACACTGCTCCTGATAGGGTATTGTGCCCATGTAACTTTGGTAATTAAGTTCTTAGCCAGGGAACCTGAC